AACGAACCATGCAAGTAATTGTCCCGAGATCCCATAAGCCCTTATCTTGGCCAAGAGAATGGTATGATCGACCGAGTCGAATGCTTTCGCAAAATGCAGGTAAATCACATCAGTCTGAATGTTCTTATCTAAAGCTTGTCCTATGGCTTGTAGCACAGACAATAACTGGGTGTACACATGAACGATTTCTTAGGAACCCGTGCTGTAAAAGGGTAATCGAGTGTTTCACGTGATCATAAAATCGGGAGCCCACGCAACGTTCTAAAACTTTTCTCACAATATTAAGAAGTGATATGGGCCGATAGTTTTCGGCGGGCTCTTTTGATTCTTTCTTGTGGATGGGTGTAATATCTGCAGTTTTCCACTCATAGGAAATTTTACTCTTGCTCAGCGAAAGGTTGAAAATCGCGCAGAGGCTGGGAGCTATTTGTTCACAGCATTCTCTCAAAAGACGCGCTGGGATGCCATCTGGTCCACGCGCCTTTGAGGTGTCTACCCAAGCATTCCCTGACTTCATCAACCAACACTTCTACTTGCAAAATTTCCATATCGGTTAGTGAATCATAAGTAATTTGCAACGGGAGTAGCCAAGCGAAAAATAGAGCAAAAATAGTTATTAAGCAGCTCCGCTTTCTCTGCTGGTTTCTCGGCAGCGACACTGTTATAAGAGACTACTGAGTTCGCACCAAATCGAACACCCAGGAATGCTTTGTGATAACTCCAGAAAATCTTTGGGTTATGCTTGAATGACATTGCAGTTTTGGCTAGGTAATACTGGTGTTTTCTCCGTACTGAGCACTTGATGTTCTGACTTATAATACGTAGTTTCAGCTTACGCTCTGCTGTTTTGTTCTGACGAAATCTCTGCAAAGCAGCGTTTTTTTTGCGAATTAAGTGGCGCACTTCACCATCAATCCAGGGCGGCGAGTTGGTATTACGAATTGTTTTCATCGGTACATAATCCTTTACGGCTGTTAGAAACAGAGCCTTCCATTTTGACCGGTGCTCATTAATGTATTCGGAGGCAGCGATTTCAGAGAGTGTTCTTGTGAGGGCCTCCCGCAGATCGTTTAGATTTTCGTTCCTTAAGTTGTAAACTTGCCGCGTTGCTCCCTTGGATCGCCTGAATCTCTAGGTCTGTTTAATCATGAATGAGATAACAATGATAATGATCCGATGGAAACCCACTGTCGCGGGGATGGGATGTGGAGACGCTCTCAATCACCAGTTGGACAGCAGTAGATCAAGTTTATTGCCAGAAATATGTGTAGGACCAGGGATTAACTGTTGAAAGAAGTTATTTCCCATATCTCCCTTGTGTTTACATGGGCAGACGAGTCGCTTGACCAGTCCAATTTTGGCAAATTGAAATCACTGAGTATTATTAAGCAAGTGGACTCGCAGATTTCTTGAAGCGAAGAATTCAGTTCGAGGAGCGGTTCGGGTGCTGTATTAAGATGGTAGAAACAGTGGAGTAGTGCTGGTTTGTCGTGACCATTTCAAAGCTCGACAACAACCAGCTCAATACACTCTCTTTCCGAATCATAGCGTCTAAAAGACTGAAGATCTCGCTTGACTGCCATCAGTACTCCGCCAGCGCGTTCGCCTCTGTCCGGGAAGGATTTCGCTGTCAAATATGGTAGCGTTCAGCCATATTTCGGTTATTGAGACAACATCAAAGTCCCCACTATAAGCAAGCCGCTGGAGTAAAGTCATTTTGCAGATCTTGCTTGCACAGTCATCTAATGATTAAACGATGGCTTTTAGACTTCTCATATTCAAGTAGAGAGCACGAAGACTATCACTCCAGCGAGCGGGTCAGGGATTCGGACGCTGGAAATGAGTGGAGTTTCACAAAGATTGAATCTTGCCACTCGATTTGGGCCGTAGGAGATGGTGCACCTGAAAAACTTTCTTCTTACCCTAGGAGAAGACTTTAAATGGCTAAATTTCGTCTCAGTTGGAGGCTTGGCGTCTTGTATCAGAAAGAGAAGGAAAAAAGTTGGAGCAGCCATCTGCTTCCGTCCTTTGCCAGAAATGATACGTGATGTTAAGTTTAACAAACGAGAAACGACAGAAGTCTTCCCTTCCAAGAGTGACAGGGTCTGTCCTTTGATACACACACGTTAGGGAAAGAGAAACCGAGGAGGGTCCAAAATACTTGGAAAATGTCGATTGAGGCTACATCGTGCCTAACTGAGTTGAGGCTGACACTAAAGTAAGAGCAGGGCAATCTTCCTGATGAGTGACCAAAGTTCCCGTGAAAATGAAAGTAGGTCAAAGATTGCGAATAGGTATGCAAAATTAAGGAAAACCATGTAACAGTGATGGACAAGATGGGGCAGAGAGCGGGTTCAAGCGGGTCAAATTTAGGACTTTTTTTTCTCCTAGTGTTACCAGAAGTAGGCCAGCTATTTTAACGTTAGGACCGGATTTGAGAATTAACTGACAAAATTCATGTTTACAATGATCCATTCTAATAAAAAATAACATGCAAACACTTGACTAAAACATACCTTTGGCGCGATCAAAAACAGGACAATTCAGGTCGATCGATTCACGTGGCATGAAGCGATCGAGAGTAACGCTATGTTTGTTTTTTTATCATGTTTCGCTGTGCTAAGTAACGCCAATGCTTTTCCATTGCGGCTTATCCCCCATCATTTCATTTTGGTAGCCATCCATACTCTTAGAGAGATTTTATAAGGGAAAAGTGTCTTGCGTCAGACTGAGAACGCAATATAACCTGATCTGGCTCGTGCCCAGACCTCTCGATCCGGAGTCCAGAACGTTGACTTTTCGAACATTTCATCTGATGCTCACCAAATGCCTATCCTTGTAGCTATCCGTGTATTTTTCACTTATTAATTTTTTTTATTAAATTTAAGCGCGTTAGTCTTATCCATAAAAGAAATTATAGCTACCTTCCCTACTTCGCCAAAATTTTCAGAGCTCCTTGAACTCGGGATAAAAGTTAAAAACTGACATTTGAAATCAACCACAGCTGTACGTGCATGTCCTCTCTATGAGATCAGTGTACAGGAAAATTTCCCGTGAAAGAAGGTGTGTAAAACTAAATCGGCCTTTACGCGGTTGCTGTACCCATTACTATTTTCAGGTTGCAAAAAATTTTGTGTGCTGGCTTCTAAGCAGGAAAACCTGTAGACATAAAAATTATCCTGGATGCAAGGACGGGACTCCACATCAAGATAGACCCACATGTGACGCTGGCTTTGGTCATTAAAACCCAGGAGTGGGTGGGGAGCACACCCTCATCAGTCATACTCACCACTGCAGAAATTCTGCCCGGCTTCTCTCGACAAATACATAACTTTTGCTCCTCTAAATAAATATTTTAATTATCGATACCGAAAAAAAAATTATTGTGGTACATTTTAGTTTCAATTCTGGGCAAAGCAACAAAAACCTGAAATGCTTTCCCAAAGCAAAATATTTCTCCGCAAATTTTTGTATTTTTGAAGTCAAAATCCCTTTCATTTCTGTGCAATTCTTAGAATAGAAACACAGTTAAGGTTAAAGCCGGAATCGGTAACCAAGGATACAGAATGGAGACAGAGATATTCAAAAGTCAAAATGGCCAATTTCTCTTTTATTAGATATGTTGAACAAATTGTCTCCTTTTCAAGTGATCTTTGTTTGTGAAAAATAGACTTCCAGAATGTTACATGTGGGACTGAAGATAAATATTGGTACCCACGGCTGGGAAAGGAGCGCACTTAGAAACATTGAAATAACATATACAACAACACTTTACACGAGATCGAGAAAAAAATTAAGAATTTACAACGTGTTAGCAAGCTGTCCCAGTGTGGCACACTGAACAAACAATCCTTTTAACTGTGTATACGATCAACGGAAAGAAATGTCATTATGCGGTCAGGGGAACTAGTTCAATTTGAGACACTTGAGAAACTTAAATGCTTAACGCTGTTTCTTGCTCTCTAACCTAAACCACATCAGACCAACCAAACGTATTAACTAGGAATTTTATCAGTCCATATTACGTTGTTGTTAGTGTTTGAAAGGACTGTTTCGTGAATCCCAACCAACGCTTTGTTTGTAAAAGTATGTTCAAAAGCCATTATTGAGGTGGACAGGCACTGATTCCGGTATATAGAGACAAAGAGCACATATTGAATACAGAATTGTCTGATTCTATTAAGAAGGCTGCACTAATACTTCCTGTGCTCTTGCTGTTATTTTTTTGGGCCAAACAAAAATCAATTTTCATGTATTTTTCTCTTTCACTTCAACAGCAAATAACAACAGCTCTTACAGCCTTCATTTCTATTTTTACAGTATAATGATGAAAACACGGAAACGGCAAAAAGAACACGTTTGTCTTCCGTAATACGATAAATGAACCGCTCCAACTTTCATTTACTGTGTTATGCACTGGACGGAGAGATCCTTGTTTCTCTTCCGCTACACGATCACCTATCAGCATATAAATGATAGGATTTATTTTATGAAATAAAATTTTTCCACAAAGTAATCTTTTTTAATATTATTTTTCATTCGTTTCAATAACCAGGGATAGGGATACTTCATAGGAAAATTTGTTTTTTTTCATAAGAACCGGTTAATAAACAAACAGGATTTACGTGCCGGTTGCCTGTTCATCAGAGGCATTTAAGTCATTATTCATATGTGCTACACATACTTCGAATATAGTTAACGGTACCAGTGGTGTTTGTAATTTTCGTTTTCTTTTTCTTTTTTGGGGGGGGGGGGGAATAAAATAAATTTTCAACACTTTTTCGTTTCAAAGAATCTTATTGGAAATAACCTGTCTCATTCTTTTCCATTTTCACCTTCAGCAGAGTGAAAAAAGAAAAAAAAAGATTCCCATAAGCAACAAAGTGGAGTGAAAGTCAAAGCAGAGATCTGTGCAAATCGCACCTGAGCTTTCAAAACGCTGTGTCGTCAGACGTGCTCAATTTCAAGATGATTTATTGTCTCCGATTAGTTCACGTATTTTCCTGTCGTTGTTTTTAAAAAGCAATTTCAAATAAAATATATATATATATATACGCCGATCTTATCATAGTTTATAGCGTTTTGAAAGCGGACTCCCGCTGCAAAAGTATACCGTACACATCGGATAAAAAGAACCTTCATATGTATTTAAAAGTAGACTGTTACGTGCTCTTTATCTTGACTGTTCTAGCTACGATCTGATTCCATTATCGGAGGAGGAAACGGGATAGTCATGCTTTCCTCTACCTTTTATCTATCATTCCCTAAGCCAATATCTTACCGACTCAATATCTTGCTCGAATCTTTGCAAATTACACCGTTTCATCCAGCATCAGCTGAGTCAAGATTACCTTCTCTACATTTGCATACGCTCAGCACGTTTCGATCAAAATGGCCACTGCTTTGCGTGCATTTCACGGCTCAAAATGTGGGTGGAAATCGACGCTCTTATTTATTTTGACGTAAAATACAGGTGTTATGATAAATATGTTTTCAAAATTGTTAAAACTACGCAATAAGATAAAATTGCGCTAACGCTTTCAGAGCCGAGACTAGACGCGTCTATCGAATTGCCATAACCAACTCATTCATGAATTCATTCAAGCACTAATAGTTTCCTGCTTCTTCTATGCACCACGAACTCCTCAAATTATATCTTTCAATTTCTGGGGCCTAACTTTATGAGTCAAGGTTACTGATGTTTGCAACCGAGTACCCACTAACTAAATATTCAAAGCTGATTCTCAGACACCTGATTAAATATGAATTAGACTAAGGTCAGTAACACCAAACTAGATGCAAACTTGCCCCAGAGATTTTCCTAAACGGTTGATACCGGCTAGAACCATAAAATTACTCACGAATGGAGTTATCATTTAAATGATCCACATAATAAAAAAGCGTCTGGCTATGAAGTCTTAGCAGTTTTTTTGAAACTTGTTTTTTTGGGGTTTCAAGCTAATTTATGATATTGATCAACCATGTAACAAAACTAGGTACCGAAGGTGGTTAAATCTATCCTTTCTCGATTCTTTTCCGTAAAGGCCGGCCATGCGCGCGTTGATGTTTTCTCAAAACAAACAAACTTTAACTTAAATAAAGAAAATAAAAGCATTTTGTTTCTTTCACATTAATGCAAGAAATTTCTCCCGAGACTATGTTTGCTTTTTGACCATATTTCATATCACGAGCAGACATGTTTTGGTACACAGGTAATGGTGTCCGCCTTTTAAACGAAAGTCGCAACGGATGGTTGCTGAGATGAACTTCTAGATCGTGTGCGAGCACGTTTCCGAGAACGGCGAAGTCGAGAACGCTCTGTTGCATGTGTTCCAGTCCGACTGGAATCGGAACAGAGAGATGATACCACTGAGTGAAAAAATGCGGAGACCCTTCGGCAAAGTAGAGAGAGTTTATTGTATACCTTTCTTGCACATTCGCTGAACACCTCTCGGAAATCTGTGCAAAGCCCAGCGTAGAGAAACGGATTGATTGCTGAGTTTGCGTAATAGAATAAAACGAAGATCAGGGATATCGCTCTGGGAACCGAGGGGCCATACAATAGCAAAAGGATGGTATCAGTAACATATGGAATCCAGCATATCAAGTAGACGATGGCTATTTTCCCTAATGTTTTTGCGCATTTGAAAAGAGGGCTGCGAATTCTTTCATACTCTCTGAGGACTTGCTGTTTTGCTATCTTGATGGCATGAATTCTGGCGATGCGGAAGATCATGACGTAAAGAATAAGAACAATCACCGCCGGTAGCACCCAGTTGACTGTGAGGATGAACATTACGTATTCTTTTTCAATCATAAACACGCAAAGGCTGTATTTAATTAAGGATGGTCCTGACCGCCAGCCCATCAGGGGTAGAAGAGCCGTAATCACAGCATACAGCCAAAGAACAGCTATTGATGCCACGATATGAATTGGCTGAGCTAGTTTTGCTGAAAACGGGAATGCAATAGTAATATAGCGGTAGACGCTGACCGCTAATAGATTGAGCGATGAAGAGGACAAAGCTAGAAAATGGATGGTGTACATAAGATCGCAAATGACAACGCCGTGAATAAACTTCGCTCGAATATGGTACTCCAATTCCAGAGGTACAGTTATGCCCATGAGTAAGATATCCGAAAATGCTAAACTCGCCAGAAAGCAGTTGAGTTTTGTCCTTAGCTTACGCTGTGTTAAGAAGGCGAAGAGAACAGCAAAATTGCCAATGGAACCGACAGTGCACATTAAAACACCAACGACGGGAAACAGATCTTCAAGAATAAGACCGTAGTCGTTCGATGTGACATTTAAACCGCTGTTTGCTCTGTCTGCGATCGATGTGTTTTGATTAGCTGCGAACATTGTATCCAAAACTGCCGGTTACAACCAATCCAAGTTTACTCACGCAGTGTCAGTTTTCTCGCCCCTAAAACCTTCAACTAATCTTCTTCGAAGAAACGGATAGATCGTGTTAATATTCTATGGTCTCACCACATACCAAGATGGTTCTGTATGAGGGCGGACTTTTAAAACCACAGATTTTAAGCGAATATGCTCTCCAACTGCGATGTTTACTTTGTCTTTCACCTGGTATGGAACATCAGAACAATTGAAATTCGCTGGCTTCCCTGAGGTCCTTATAATCGCTTGTAATCTCTTTCGCTTGCAAAGAACAACTGTTCTTTTACAATTGACAAGCACTCAAGACAAAGACCAATGAGATTTCACGGCTTCAGCTTTTCCCCAACATCAGCCAATCTGAAGGCTGTATTCGATTTTCTTCAACGTCATCTTCTTAGGCTATTTCCTTCGTGTTTCCGCATTGGATATCTAGCGAAGGGCTCAATAAAAAGATTAATGTTTGTATTTAAGCGCTTGAATACCAAGCTTTTTGAGTTTCGAACCGCTATGAAATATCTAGAAAAAAATACCGTAAACACCTCGTAGAAGCAGGAGTCATGCTGTAATTTTACGAAAAGTCGTGCGTCTAGGAAAAATTAATTGCATAGATTTAATGACTAACTGACACAAGACGATGAATTATGCATAACCATCCATGACAGTGGTGTAATCGAATCAGTTCAGTTTAAAATTGAATTTCATCTCGTAGAGAGCTTATCTCTGACTCGAGCTAATATCGTGGGAAACACAACACTTCAATTAATCTTGAATTTTATTCTTATTTATGTTTCATCTTTTCTCTCTGTTTTGGTTTTAAAGATCCTTTTACACAGCTTGAAGTTCTCCGATAATTTCGCCGTTGTAATTGCGCGAATTAATTGCATTTCTTTGAAACACTGCTCAAATTCAGTATTTGTGGCATTCTCTCTTCTCCAAAAAAACAATCTAATTTAATGTTTTAATCTTTGCTAGTGGTCTCTCTATTGTAGCCAGTAAATGAAATAAGTTCAATTGACATTACTGAAATATTTATTCGGAAAGGAAGATAAACCTTGCGTTAAATGTTTTGGCACTCTAAGATAAGAATTGTCGCCACACAGGAGGTGAGACTTTGCCACTTACGACTTTTAGCAACTAAACTAATTGATCAAATTCTATGCCAATCGCTGTATTCATATCTGTCCAAGATCTACAATTTTTTTTTTCAGAAATATTACAGTGACAGTAATTGGTTTATTGAGGGCAGAATTATCTATTCATTCCAGAGAGGACACTTTTCTGTTAGCTCTATGCCCACAGAAAGAATACTAAAGGCTGTTCGGCTAAAATGATTTTCTTTGTGACAAAATTGAAGCTCAACATATCAATGCGAGTGAACATATCGTTCTTTATCGCGCTGTTACACCCCCGATTGCTCAGACTCAACGTATGCTTGCTTCCTATAACATAATTGAATTGTTTCAATTTTTTTAATTACAATCTTTTAATTCTTGCTCAATCTCTTCGTCGAACCGCAGCTTTATTATCTTGCTATCGGTGCTCAAAGTGGATTTCAAACAGCTACACAATTTGTCGAACAATATTAATGTCAAGGTCTTCCCCTCTGCTGTGCATCGAGGGTCACCATCTACAACAGGTTCGTTGCCACTTTAGTAGCTCTCACCATGAAACCTTTTCCTTAAAGTTCAGCCGTTTATAACATGTGGCCTTCTCAGTTGCAGTTTTCATTAAATCAGCGCCGCGCGATATGCAACCGCATTGAGTGATCGAAGACATTTTTTTATTAACTGTCACGAGCTTCTTTCGTTCGATGGAAGGTAATTACCATAAATTGAATATTTGTGTATTTTAGCATTTATCGAAATGTGGCTTCAATGTCATTTTGCGGGAAAGGCGCTAATGCAGCCAAAAGGCCCACAAAATTGACATTTATTTCAATTTTATTTCCCACGTCACCTGAAGGTTATAGAGGAGCGGACTGCAGGAAGGAAATATATTTTAAAAAGTATTGCACGCACGCAATTTAGCTTTATCCCTGAAGGAAATTCTGAGGAAATAAATTGAAAATGAATGACTCTGGGTTTGACCATTGCTTTTTGATAGCCACAGCAGAGTGCAAAAACAAAAAAAGTTCTGCGGAAACCCACTAATTAAAATCAACTCAGCCACGTAATATCACAAATAGAAAATAAACACAAGAAACGTATACAAAAGACATTGAAATTATTGTCATGACATCTTTCTTTCACCATGGATTCACTTTTTAATTTGTTACAGTTTCAACCTGAAACAATTTTGGTGGAGAGATTGATCTTTATCCTCAGTAACTGCTGTCTCTGAAATACTCTTTCCATCACTTACCGATCAGATGGTTTTTTTTTCTCCCGCTGCGATAGTTCAGATAAAATTCATGTGATATTCTTCCAAGTTTCATTTATATCCATGAAATGATTCCGCTCAATATCTATGAGCGATGTATGGCTTAACGATATCCACATTTACATAATATTAGGTCCTCTATACAGCTTATCCTTCAGAAACTTTCATTAAGCAGCCTTTAACAAAGAATTTACTGTTGCTTACTTTTTTAGGCATTTTTTCCAAACTTTTTTTTCACTCTTGTATCCTCATACAATGAATCTTTCTGGTTCTCTTTGGGACGCAATTTATTTCCTCATTATAAACCGCTCCTCAGAAAATTTGTCACTTTCCCGATAAATGCAGATGCCGGAAAAGCAAACAAGTACCTCTTATCAAGCCTGTAACTAAATATGAGTTCCAACTCCAATTTTATCCATGCTCCGAAGTGTCGTGCGTTAAGAGCGCAAGAAATGCGAACATGACTTAGAATTGACTCTTATTGCAAAACAGAAAGCCGATAAAGTTACTTGAGCGGTACATCCAGGTTGTCAGTGGTCTTTGAGACAGTCATTCATTATTAATTTGAGCCATTTGAAATTTTGGCTGTTTTCATATGGAGTTTGGCAGGGTTTCGTTTGTTTGATATGGTTATTTCTTATGATATTTACACTTATACGTCTTGCATGACAGCTTTGAACCTCCGCACAAATTACGGAATACAAACTTAATAATTTTCGCGCAAAAATGAACCAACGAGTCGATCTTTGTGTTGGGCAAAAATGACTCCATCCAATAGACAAGAGAATATGGATATCCTCTTGAATAGATGATTATAAAGACTTGGATTATCGGATTATCTAAAACCTCATATTCTGATTAAAAATTCATTCGGCTTAGGGAAAATTTAGTATTTGAACGCATATGATTGATGGAAAGATTGTTTTGGAACATTTAATTAAAGAAGTGAATTGATCGGGCAGGTAACCCGAATCTGCACATTTGTAATTTGTTAACGGTTCACGGAAAGCGTAGAAGCCGTTTTTGGACTGCCTCTTAAAGGGTCACAAAGGCCGGGAATTCAAAATAGATTGGAGAGGACTGGTGAAAGTATGAGTGAAACTTAAAGCTTAATTTTCACAAATCATTTTTCCCTAGTAAAGAGAAACAGTAGTCATACAAATCACAACTGAGGGTCTCTCAAAGGCTGTCATTTGACTTAACAAAGGTATCGAAGTTACTAGAAGCTAGGAAGCTGATTGCCTGACTGTCTCGATGTTAAAGTTGAAGTAATTTTGCAAGAAACACCCCATGAAAAAGCTCATCGATAACTTAATACGCATCTTCTTTAAGGACGATTGTCAGACTTCTCAGGAATTTTCATGAAGTTTAAGTAGGTACATATGCGACACTCGGGGCCTTTATCCGAAATTTTCAAATAAACGAATATGCGATATTCCCTGTGGATCAATCACAGAAGAACATAAAGTAGAAGACGAAAAAGCACACCGGGTCCTGAGATTTTTTCAGGGTGAGTAAACGAAAACTGAAATGCAAAGTTCAGATGGGCTGTATCTACAATAGGAAAGGAGTTCTTTAAAGGGAACAGGTGAAAAGTGCAATAGCTAAGAAGTAACAGCAAACAATGCAGAAAATCACGAAGACGTTACCCCTTGAGCAGGGTGTCACCCACTCGCTCAAAGCATCCAACACCCGGCGAAGACCTTCAACCAAATAACGTTTAGGGCAAAGAGAATAACTAAGCCTGAATGTGATACTTTGATAAAACGATAGTGCTACAGAAAGAAAGCTATGCTCATGATGGATCCCATGATATTTCACAGGGGAAATGACTGCTTGATGGAGCGCCTTGTTGACTTTTGCGTCCGTCGGTTTTTTTATACAAAGTCAGCTGCAACAATTATAAAACTTTTATAAGTAAAAACGTACTTAAAGATTATTGATGGTGGAAGTAAGAGAGAGGTCATTATGCAGGCCACACGGAATTAAATCAAATTCAAGCATATGGTGGCTCAAAAACCCTCTACGTTCTTGATTGAGGGCATCATTCAAGGAGGAAAAATTGAGTCATAACTTACTCCTGATACCAACTAAAAGTACGACCTTTTTTTGTTACCCAGTCTCTCTAGCACAGAGCTATATAAGACTGATGGTAAATGAACTTTAAAACCAGGCTCATGTGACAAACGTTTTATATTATGCGAGCCGGAGCTCTTGCACAATGATAGTAATGAAATTGAGAAGGCAAACTTTATGTCTGGTGATTATTATGGAAATTCCCTTTGCCTACGTCTCTCGACTGATCCTTTCAAGATCAAAGTGTTGTAGATTTTGTTCAGGCAATTACACTCTCAATGGATGCGTCACCTAAAACCCATATATCAAATTACTATAGCCTTTTCCGCGACGGTGACTTTTTGTGGTTAGACGATGAGTCTTAGAGCTCACCGCTTTCCTTATCTTATCAATATCCCAGATCAAACGCACAGTCGCGGCTATAGAAAGATCTTGGCCACATAACGTTTATTTTGAGAGAGTCTTCCGTTTTTAGACATAACAAGCAAACAAATGGATGCATCTGCTTCTCTTGTTTCAAGGAAGATTTTATTCTACCAATGATCCTGATAACCAAAAGAAGAATTCGATTGACAACGGGACAAAACAAATAGCTCCAACTGCAACTATCGAAACATACTCAATTTTCATTATTTTGCCTTTTAATTTTGAATGGACTTTTAAAACAAATGAAGAATCGAGAATGAGAAAAGAAGCATCTGGTAATGACTTAGGTTTGGAGAGTACTATTTCGTATACGCTTCCAGCCCTCCCTGCTGAAACTGGATA